ATCCCTTCATGTGGGATGGGCTCTCAAAGTCCCTTCTTACACCAGGGAAAAATACTAATCCACTACCAGGGGCTCTCTGGAGAGCAGAGGCCTCCTCATTGACATCCAACGACAGGATATTTTAACAATATTTGTTTTTAAATTTTATTTTATGTGTTGAGTGTTTGCCTGCATGTATATATGTGCACTACATGAGTGCAGTGCCAGCAGAGGCCAGAAGAGGGCGCCGGATCCGTCGGGACTTGGGGTTACAGATGGTTGGGAGACATCCCGTGGATGGGATCCCTGAACTTGGTTCTTTGCAAGAGTAGATGTTGCTACTGAGGTGTCTCCCAGGCCCTGAGGAGTCTCCCAGGGCCTGAGGAGTCTCCCAGCCCCTGAGGAGTCTCCCAGCCCCTGAGGAGTCTCCCAGCCCCTGAGGAGTCTTCGAGCCCCCAAGGAGTCTCCCAGCCCCTGAGGAGTCTCCCAGGCCCAGTTGGAATATCTCTGAACAAATTGTTAGAGTCTCAGCAGAAGCCGCTTACAGAACTGTCCATCACTCTGGAGGCCCACCTGTCTGTCACCCTGGAGGCCCACCTGTCTGTCATCCTGGAGGCTCACCTGTCTGTCACCCTGGAGGCCCACCTGTCTGTCACCCTGGAGGCCCACCTGTCTGTCACCCTGGAGGCCCACCTGTCTGTCACCCTGGACACCTGTCTGTAACCCTGGAGGTCCACCTGTCTGTCACCCTGGAGGCCCAACTGTCTGTCACCCTGGAGGCTCACCTGTCTGTAACCCTGGAGGTCCACCTGTCTGTCACCCTGGAGGCCCAACTGTCTGTCAGCTTCTCCCAGCACTCAGGCTGTCTGGAACAGCCTGGTTTCTTGCTGATGTTCTTTGGGGACTTTCAACTTCTTCAGGGTCAGAGATGACAGCTGTGCCACCAACATGAGGCACAGTGTCTGATGTATGGAATTGCACAGACAGGATCAAGGAATGACCTAGTGTGTTTGTGACCTCCACATCACACACACACACACACACACACACACACACACACACCCAACACACACACACACACACACACCCAACACACACACACACACACACACCACACACACTCTCACACATCACACAGCACTCAGTCACACACATCATACACACATCACATACATACTTGCACACAGGCACACACTCACACACATATCACACACACATACACACATGCATACACTCACACACATACCACACACACATACACATATACACATGCAGACACTCACACACACATCACACACTCATGCACACACCACACACATGTATACACACTCACACACATCACATGCACACACTCACCCATATGCACACACGTTATACACACTCTGTCTATCACACATTTACACGCATCACACACATGCTTATACACACACTCATACACACATCACATAAACACATGCACACAATAAGTAAATAGTCTCTCTCCTTTTTTCTTAGCTACAGAAAAGAACGGATTGTCTGAACCCCCAGCACAAATGATGCACACCTGAAATCCTAGCATTTGGGAGGTGAGGCAGGAGGCCTCGGAACTCACACCCAGCCTTAGCTACACAGCACGTGATGAACCAGCCTCGGTAGTGGGAGGTCCTGACTCAAAAAAAGGTTTTGTTTTTTTCCTTGTAAGTTTACAGCCATTAAAGTGTGCATGTGTGAGCACACATGTGTTTAAGTTTTCAGGTAATATGCCATTGTTTTAGAGTTGCTGGCAAGATTTAATGCCCACGTGTCACTTACCAGGGTACAGCAGGGCTTTCTTCCAATCTGCAACAGAACATACCAGGGACAGTTGAGGACTGACCTGTGCCCTCACTTCCCCGTTTCCCTCTCAGGTCTCCACACCAGTCATCATTAAACATTTTAGTCCCTCATCCCCACCCCATGAGGGTACTGAGGGGGAGTTGGCATCAGGGCATGGGGGTGCAGGACACCTGGTCTTTTACCTTCTCTGTACAGAGCCTTCCGTTGATCTGAAAGAAATAACACCCATGAGTGGCCTAGTGGCTGGAAAGATGCAGGGAGAAGAAGCTGCACTCACCCAGCGCGGCCTGGAGGTCATCTGAAAGAAAGGGAAGGTACACCATCCATCACACTGGGTCTCAGCCACCCTGGGCCTGGAGAGTAACTAAATGAATTGGGGTTGGCTTTCCTGTAGGGGATAAGCATGTGCATATGGCCATGGGAAACTGATAAGGTGCCCTGGGGTGAGGGCTTCCTCTCAAGCAGGCTCTTGACAGATTCATAGGGTAAGAAACAGCAGCAGCACCCTCTGGAAGAAGGGTGGGGTGTGGGCACATGGGACTGAAGAGCAGGGTGTGAAGGCCTGGGCTGTGGTTTGAGGCTGCACTTCACTGGCCTGAGGTCCACTCCCCATGGCCCTCTGGTCCTCTGCAATGACTATGGCTCTGTGGAGCACTCCCAGGCCCCCTCCCTCTGTGCCTTTCAAGCTCCTTTGAGTCCCCCAGCCTTTCTACAGCCCTCTGACTCATTCTGTGGTTCCCCCTGTCTATACCTCTTTTCTTCAGTGAGATTTTCATTTCCTTCTTCATCTGAGATATTTCCTTCAGTTCTTCTGACTTTTGTTCCACCTTTTGCCTTTTGGCTTGGTGCTCTTTCCAGCCAGCAAGGCTGGTCCCACCGAACAGAACCAGTAGTATGGGGAGCAGGCAAGCCAGAGCTACTTTCCATG